TATGCTGGTTTTGCTGCAACAGCACAGGCCTTCCCAATATGATGACTCCTGCCCAGGGCTGCCAAAGGTGGGTGGGGCAGTCACAGGCCCAGTGGGAAGGCAGCTTGTACCAAGTGACCTACATGAGTAGGTCAGCTGACACTCCTAGAGCCAGTAGTGAAGACCTGGGCGATCGGCCCTCTTCTTGCCCGTGGATATTGAGGAGCACCCAGAACGACTGGGCACCTTTTCTCCTTTTCGCAGTTTGGGGCATTTGGGCAGGTAAAGGGCAAGCTGAAGATGCCATGTGGGCTGGCCACATCCTCACCCAGCTGGCTCTCGGGAATGGACAGAGTCCCCCTCGGTTGGGAAACAGGCGAGAAGAGGTCCACTGACAGTGTCTGGTGTCATCTCCCACCCCTCAAGGCTTGGCCCTGTTGGCTCCTGACAACAGGGAGGGCTGTGGTGCGGAAGCAGAAGGGACCCGAATCCAAGCCCAGAGAGCTGTGGACCTCAGGGGAGCAGGGAGTCTGAGCCAAGCCCCACAGACAACCCCACCACCACCACGACCTCAAGCACTCTGTTGGTCACCCATCTCCAGGCTGTCTCTGTGCCACGGGTGGGGAGTCACAAGGGAGACCGCGGGGCTTGGCGAGTGGCCTGGCTCTCTGAGAAATTGGCCCTGCCTGGCTGAACCCCACAGGCAGTAGACGGATGTGGAGATCCCAGGGATCCCTGCCACGCTTTTAATCACTCAGGCCTTCTGTGAACTCCTCGCCAAGGAATAAAATGTTGGGGGCCACCACTCTGCCATCCCAGACCGGCTTCTCCCGGCCCATCCTCAGCCAGCTACCCTGCCCGCACATGTAGTTCTCCAGTTCTGCCACTAGAGAGGTCCCTTGAGCCAGACTACCTGCCCTGCCCTGCCTGGGGCTCAATTCCCAGGTAACCGGGAACCAGGATTCCAGGCACAGCCAGGGGTGGGTCTCAGAGCCAAGGCCCTGCCCAGAATCCAGTGCTCTGGATCTCAGCCCCAACACCGTGCCTGCCCAGCACACAAGGATGCCTTCTCCTCTTGGCCCCGTCCCGGCCATGGTTCTCAAGGCTGCTCCAAGTGGAAACTTTTGGGGAGAGAGGTTTCAAAATATAGTGATGGACTGGACCTGGAGGCCCATGCCTCTCATCACAGTTACTCGGGAGCTGAGGCAAGAGGGCAGAAAGTTCAAGGTCTGCCTGGTCCATAGGGTGAGTTCAAAGTCAGGCTGGACAATTTAGTGAGCGTCTGTTTCAGAAAATAAAAAGAGGTCTGAGGATGTAGCGCAGCAGTACAGTGTCCCCTAGATTCAAGAGACCTGGGCTGAATCCTCAGCAGCAAATGGGCGGAGCTGAGATGGCAGACCACGTGCCTAGCATGCATGAGGCCCTGGATTTAATACCACTGAATAAACGGGGTGTGGTTGGTGCACACTTGTAATCCCAGCACTCAGAGGATTAAATTTGTCCTCTTTAGCTACATAGTGAGTTCAAGGCCAGCCTGGGATACATGAGATTCTGTCTTAAATATATATATATGACCTTCCTCCACTGACCCATCAATGATGATTTAAATAGTCTGGGTAAGGCCAGAACATCAGGGAATTCCTAGACTGAGGATCCCTGTTCCAAATGTCCACAGAACCAGCCATCATAGGCTAATCATAGCCATCTCCCTGCTTCCAAGGGACCGAGATGGCACTGGACACAGGGGGGAGCAAAAATAAAGCAAACCAAGGGTCTGGAGAGATGGCACTGGCTGCTCTTGCAAAGCACCCGAGTTTAGTTCCCAGGACCCTCGTAGTGGCTCACAACAGTCCATATGTCCAGTTCCAGGGTATTCGATGACCTCCTTTGGCCTCTGAGGGCATTGCATGCTTGTGGTATACTAATATATATATATATATGATAAAAATAAAAATAAATACATCTTTAAAAAATAAAACAAACCAAAACATGTTGGAAAGCTCTCAGCAGTCCATCATGAATGGCAGGGTTGGGGTGGGCCAACCCCAAGAGCTCCTGTGGTGGAGCTGGGGCCACACCATGGGCCGTGCTCTGTGGAATCTTTAAAAGGCAGAGACTTTTGCAGTCGTGAGGTCATTAGGGATGTGGCCTGAGAAGAAATCAATGCAGTTCTCATGGGACTTGATTAATTCTCTCAAATGAATTGTTATGAAAAGCTTGCCAGCCCCTGCCTGTCTGTGCTCTGGCCTCCCGGCTCACCTCGGCATTCTGGGATGCAAACAGTAGGGCCTCACCAGAGGCCAGAGATAGATCCACACCTGCAGTTCTGCAGCTCTGCACTAGGCCTAGGCTTTCCGGCTCCAAAGCGGCCTGCCACATAAGCCTTATTTTTTTTTATTTACGTATGTATTTATTTGTGTTTACGTGTGTGTATCTCTGTGTGTGTGTGTGCATGTGCCACATGTAAAGGTCAGATGACAGCTTTTGAGTCAGCTCTCTCCTTCCACCATGTGGATCCCAGGGATCAAACTCAGGTCACCAGTTTTGGTGACAAGCACCTTTATCCACTGAGCCACCTTGCAGGTCCAGACCTCTTTTCTTTATAAGTACTCAGCCTCAGGCATTTTGTAACAGCAACAGAAATTGGACTAACCAACACGGTGTGTCCCCTGAACTTAGACCAAATTGCACTGATACAGTATGAAGGGTCCAAGAGACATGGATCTGTTGGGGCCTCCATGGCTGAGACCCAAAGGGTGAGCAACACAGACAGCTGGAACAAGGCCAAGGAGCATTGCTTCTGCTTCTTGGGGGGGGTGATCACGCCCTAGAGCCAGCCTCCATAAGACAGCTCCCAGCCCATGCCCCTGACCCTGTAACCCAGCCTGGCACTTGAACTTCAGGTCAACCAGCCCTGAAAGGGGGTTCTGAGCTGCACTTCACACCCACGAGGCAGCTGCATTTCAGATGCACAAGATCTCACAGCCAGGAGTGAAGCTGGGGCAGGAAGCAGACCAGTCAGGTTCCAAGGTCACAGCGTGCTGCCACCAGTGGCCTCCTGACAGCCATACACCGGGCCTGGAGTTGTGGGTGGGAGCCAGGCTCCAGGGGAGGGCATTGAACAACAAAGTGAGACGTGTCCTCTTTGGTCTGGGGGATGGAGATAGCCACCCAAATCAAAGCATGAGGGTCCCCTAGAGCTGAGGCTGTACCTACTTGGCTGGTCAGGAGTGGGTTAAGAGGAGGAAGCTTGGGGCCAGGGCCTAGGGCAGAGGGATCCAGTGCACCCGAGAAACAGCTCCAGTGTTGGCATGTCCCATGCCCCTGTATCTTCTTACAAGGGGAGACTGAGGCACCAGGAAGATGAGCTTGTCCTTAGTTCATGTCAAGCATGGAGGCCAGTGCTCAGTAGCACAGCAAAGCCTGCTTCCTGGATCCCAGTCCCTTCCAGGATGGGACTTCTGGACACACAGTAGGTCAGGCTCTGTCCATCCTCAGCAGGGACTGTAGGCCAGGATTGCCATAAGGCAAGGCCACCTTTATCTCAGCCTGACACCAGGGTGCAGGGACACCCACAGGTACCACTGCACTGCTCCATGATACCACCAGGGGGAGCTCTAATGGAGCCGCCCCAGCAGCACTGCAAATTCCTCCCAGGCCAGATCCTAACACTGCTGGGCTCAGCAAATCTCGGCAGGCCTGGAGTTCCCAATTCTTCCATCTCCACCCTCAGGTACCAAGACAAACGTTATCACCTCTGCCTTAGGCTTCGGTGGACCACATCTTATTGAGGAGGAAAAATCGGGATGCAGTACATCTCAAATTCGTTCCTGCTGGAGTCAGCAAGGTGCACGTGCCCCTCTGCCCTGCCCCCTGCTGCCTGGCTTATCACAGCAGCTGGTGTGACTGTGTGTATTCCAGCCCCAGTGCGGACCCAGCTGTGCTGATGACCTTGAGCAAGCCAAGGACCTCCCCTGAGTCTCATACAGGAGGGCAGCACCAGGACCTAGCTCACTGCTTGAAAGCATACAGTCCCCCAGAGCTCGCTGACCCCAGAGCTCGCTGACCCCAGTGCCTTAAGGGTTCACATCAATATTCACCAAAAGCCCCACTCACCCATGAACTCCATAATTAATTACATTCTGTCTGGCTAGCACCATCACACACCAGTGTTAATTATTATCACCATTATTTACATAACTCTAGCAAGCCAAGGACTATACCCAGGGCATAAGAAGATACTGGTGTCAGATATGCCCATTCTCGGCCTCCCCTGGGCACCTTGGGTTGGTGCAGGCACACTGTACATGCATAATCTCTGAGAGTCTGAAGACAATGGGTGATGGACAGGGTGAAGGCTTTCTTTGATCTGAGGTGCAACTTGGGCTTCAAAGGTCAGAGGACCCTCCCCAAGGTTAAAATCGAGCTCCTGCCTTGGATCCCTGAAAGTACAGCATATGCCATCAAGACCACCAACCAACGAGTCTGGGCACCTCAGCTCCCCATGGGTGCACAGTGGCTTCCAGCAAAGTAAACAGAACCCCCCCATTGTGTTTCTGCCTCTGCAGCTGGCAGATGTGTGGAGTCCCCAGGACCAGGCCACATACCAGGTGCATTGTAGGGATAGCACAGAAAGGGCCTGCAACCCAGCATGAACTCAGCGTACTCCTACAAGCCTCATGGTACCACTGTCAGGGGGCTGAGAGACACCCAACACTCTCCTGCCCCCTTACCAAGAGAACAGGAAAGTCCAGGGCTCCTGGGGACGGGGCCTTGATCAGAGGCCCTCAGACGCCACCAGACCTGGTGAGTCTGAGGGAGAGAAGGGAACTGACAGGATGAGAAGTGGGGAAGATACCACAGAACCCACGGTACATCTTTCCCAGTCACCACGTGGTGGCCCCAAGCCTCAGTCAGGGCCTCAGGGAAGGGGCATTTGCATCAGCCACAGGTTGAGCAGGCGGGTGGTAAAGAGTCCCATAACCCAGGCCAGGTCTGGAGACTCAAAAGCAGGAACTCACCTGCCCTCGCTCTCCAGGAACGCAGAGCTGCTGCCCTCCGCCAGGGCTGCGCTGATGGGCGAGAGGCAGAAGGGCGAAGAGAAGGCATCAGAGTCAGAGTCAAAGGAACTGTCCCTGCTCACGCCATCGGCCGACAGCTCCAAGGAGCCCTCTTCCTCCCCAGCCTCAGGCCGTGGCTCCCTGCCATCCTCCATCCCATCCTGCGAGCTGACTGCAGACAGAATCCCGGAGTCGCTGTGGGCAGGCTGTGAGGCGGGCAGGATCCCATCTACCTCTGGACCCTGGGCCAGCTTCTCGCCATTTTCGCATGAAGGGCTAATGTGCACGGTGTCCCTGGTGTTTTGGGTAACCACCAGAATGTCCTCATCTTTAGGGATTAGGGGAGGCCTTGGTTCTGTAGGGGAGGGTTGATAGGGGGCCCCCAAGCTTGTGGTGCGCCGTCGCCGAGGACGGGGTGCCTTGCGCACAGGGGAGCTCTCAGGGGTGATGTAGCGCAGGGCCTCCTCATCCTGCCTCTGGATGCGAGAGTTGGGGACCCACGCCAGAATGAGGGTGGCCCCCAGCAGTTCGTCCTTCTCCATGTATAGGCACAGGTAGCCTGTGGGGAATAATGGGCGGGTTGGTCAGGGGGCTGGGCAGGCTGTGCAGCCAGCCCCCCAGATACATACACAGCACTAAAGAGAGAGAGGCAGATGGGAGACCCGAGTTCTACTTCACAACAGGAAGAGATCCAAGATGGGTGACACCTGGGCCTCTTGAGTGAGACGTGGCATTCCGGGTATGACTTTTTGAGGAAGGGGCCACTTAAAGTTGCTCCAGAACACCAAGACCACACAGACTGCCAGTTGGATGAAGGGGTTAGAGTGAATGGCTGGATACTCAGCTCCTAGGGGAAGTGGCATCTCCTAACACAGCTCCAGGTTGTTTGGGGGGGCGGGGTGTCCTGATTCCCAGGCACTATTTGACTCCATCCCCAGGCTTCTTCATCTCTGGTTTCTGCACTGAAAACTCTTTAACAAGAGCCAGCACCATCAACCACATCCCTGGGGACTCAGGCTCCAGCCAGAATCTCTGGTGTGCTTCTCTGTTCAGCACATGTTAGGAAATTCAGGAACATTGGTCAACTGTTCATCACAGTCATGTGAGAGGGAGACCCAGTGTTCTCACACCCTCCAGTCACGTGGCTTTGAGATCAAGATGAGAGCTGAAGATCTGTTCTCAGCATCTTTGGGGAGTGTCTGGCCTTTCTTTCTGAGTGCCTCTCTTTCTCTTAACCCTCATGCTTAAGCCTATATTAAAATATCTTTATTAAAGCTCAATTCTGCTTCATAAGCTTGCTAGGCCTCCTGAAATTCTTTTCTGTGTTAAAACCACAAATCCCAGTTTGGCCCTTGAAGCCTAGGGGAACTCCTCAGGCTACTGAAGGTGACAGTAGTGAGCTGTGTCCCCCAAACATTGACAACAGAAGGAACGCTCCATCCTTAGGGATCCCCAAGTAACGGCCACAGGTGACAGAGTCTAGGAAGTTGACCTTCCTGGTCTCCAGAGTTCTGGTTCCGGCTCTCATATAGTGGCGCCCTGGGGGGTCAGGGGGAGTTAGTGAATTTCTGACACGTTCCAGCTGGTGCTCCCTGGCCTCAAGCCCCACTCCCCCTCCCTGGCTGGAGTTGCCAGTAGCCTCACCTGGATGGTGCTCCCCAGGGCCCTGCAGCCCCTCAGGTGGGTGTACACAAACATTGTTCTTGGAGTAGATGATCTCTCCATCCAAGACGGAGGGGGACCCGCCGCCGCCCCCCGTGGTGAGGGTCAGGAGGTCCGAGGCCTTGGAGGAGGCCCGGCGAAGGAGGCGGCCCAGAGACATGGCTGAGCCCACGTTTCCATCCTCCACTCACTTTGGTGCAGGTCGGGCTCCTGGAGACCTGCGGTGGGAAAAAGACAGGATGCAACCATGGTCAAAATGAGGGACTGTGCAGATGCCCAGCACCATCAGGGTCCCACCCGTGAGAATGCTGCTCACACAGGGCCTGCGCAGGGCATGTGGGGGGCTGCACCTCCATATTCACCATTCGTCCTCAGGCCATGCTGTGCAGCCTCCCTGGGCTCCACCTACCACATGCCACTGGCATCTGTCTGCACAGTTTGACAGACAAGAGTGTCCAGAGATTGTCAGGTGTCATCCACTGAGGATGGAGGCTGGAGGAGCTTTTCCCACCAAGGAGCAGTTTCCTAGAAGCCCTGGGGTTCCCTCTGCTTGGTCCTCACACTCCTCAGCATCGGTGAGCTCCTCCTAACTGGGCCTTCCCCCGACCCTCCTTCTCATTCTTCTGCCCACCCACCCCTTTGCCTATTTGACCAGGGTGCCATAAACATGTGAAAGACCTAAGTTTATATACAATTATATTTTTTTACAAAAACTAAATGGAAAGATCTGTACTCAGAAAACAAAGAACTCTTACAAAGTCGTCCTGCAAAGAAGCAATTTCCCAGTAAAGAAAACAAGCAAGCCCCACAAGAAGAAATCGGAAGAACTGAGAAACGGGGAAAGAAACGATCTAGCTTCAAATAAAAATCCAACACCCTGAAGTCTGGACAAAGCTCCTGCTAAGGCTGAAGATTTGGAGCCGGGGACGCAGTTCAGTGGGTCGAGTGCTCGCCTAGTGTGTGCAAAGCCCCAGCTTCCATCCCCAGCACCATAGAAACCAGGCATGATGGTGCACCCCTGCAATCCCAGCACTCAGGAGGTGGAAGTGGGAGGGTCAGGACTTCAAGGTCATCCTAGGCTATATATGGAGCATTGCCTGGGTGGTGAGTTGACACCAGCGAAAACTAGAATCAGCCAAAGGTCTGCGGCAGCGATGAGAACCCATCAGAGGGTTTGCATGTGGGTGCCCACATGATGGTATCTGCATGAAAGATGGGTACTCGAAGCCATGCTCCCTCCTGGTGGGCATGGATGACGGGGGGCTAGGACTTCTGTCACAGCCAGCAGGGACAGACCAGCTTCTTAAGATGACCCATCCACACAGGGGCTTCAACTCCATCCCTTGGAAATGAAACAAAAGGGCTTGGAGCCAATATGATAAAATTCTCGAATTGGCTTGGATAAGCAAAGCCTGGTGCGGAGGCATATCATGTAGCGGCAACCGGACAGACACCGTGACGCCTGCTGCGACAGGGATGGGGCTCGAGGGGGTTAGGCAGCGTGAGGCAGCGGCTTGCTGCTTTAGGGCAGGAGCATGGCCTCAGAAATGTTCTGTTGTGTGGACATCATTGAGTGTACCTGTGTAAACTGAACTAGCTACAGACCCTACAGGACCAGCCACAGGCGGGTGGCCCATCCTTAACCAGAACATCATTTGTGGTACATGACTGTAAACCACAGACAAGAAACACTGCACAGTTCTGCACGAAGAAAGCGGTGTGGGGGCTGCCCAGGGCTCGGGGAGGGCTGGGGGTTGGGGTGGAATCTGGGGCTGAGGGATGGGCTAGGGGAAGGGCCTTGGAGTTGGGGAGGGGCATGGAGCTGGGGGAGGAGCCTGAGGCTGGGGGAAGGCCTGGGGTTGGGGAGGGACATGGAGCTGGGGGAGGGGCCTGAGTTGGGGAAGGGTTGGGGTTGGGGAGGAGCCTGGGCTGGGGAGGGGCTCAGGATCTGTGTCTAATACCCTGAGAGTTCCAGGTCAGGGGAAGATGGAAGAGTTTCTGTGACAGTTGCGCAGTGTGAATTAACTTAGTGCCTCTGAACTCTATCAGGCATGGCTAAATACATTTAAGCATATTTTATGCATGTATTAAGTATTTTTATGCGTATTTTACTACAATAAAAATATCAATTGGTTGAGGGCCTTAAAATCCAGAGCTGACTGAAGGTGTTTCCCAAAGCAAGTCCCTTCCACCCCCAGTACTTGAAGGACTGGGAGGCCCAGTGCTTGGTCCTCAGCCCCATCTGCCTCTCCCCTGACCTCTCCCTGTGTTCTCCTGCCTGTAGCCCTCTACATATCTTCAATTACCTCTGAAGCGAGGACTCTTCCCCCAACCCAACAGTCTACAATGTCCCAGGCAGCCTGGGAGCAGTCCTTCTGTCTCTGCTCTTTTTGATGGGTCCAGTAACTCGTGTGTGTGTGTGTGTGTGTGTGTGTGTTGCTGGAGACTGAAGCCAGGGCTAGGAAAGTGTTCTGCTGAGCTGCGCCCTGAGCCTGGATTGTTTCCATGGGCAGATGCATGGCTCTGTCTCCCCCAGCTCAGAGGTTCCCAGCCACAGGATCACCTTGAAAGTCACCCAGCCTTCTGGAGACAACAGAGTCTCCACTGCTATCTGGACCCTGATCTACCTGCTCCTTCAGCCCAGCAGGCTCAGATCCCCCCTCACCCAGCACTCTCACTGCAGGCTAGAGGAGAAAGCATCCGTTGATCCAGCAGTTGGCAAACCTGCTCTGTAAAGAACCAGTAACAAACACTACAGCTCACTAGGCCACAGACTTGGTTGTGACCGTCCATCCAACGTGTCCCTGATAGGGCAAGATCAGTCTTAGACAAACCAGCTGGTTTGTAGCCTAAAACAGGAACTTTCTAGAAAATGAAGCTTGACTCTTTTTTTTTTTTTTTTAATTCTGTCATTTTCATGTCCTGGCCACCTCTCATGGACGCCCTCTGTCCACTCCCAGTAAAGGATGGCCCTCCCTCATCTTAACCATTGTTGATCTTAGGGTCTAGACACTTTATCAGGTATCACGGCACATGACAACAAAGTTATGACCCTTGTTTAAAAGTCACATCACAGGCTGGCATATGGCTCGCGATATGGCTCAGTGGCAGAGTGCTCACCTGGGATGCGCAAGGACCTGGGCTCCATCTCCAACAGTGGCCAAAATTAAAAAATCACATCACAATCTACATCAGAGCACGTTATAATTAGTCACCATTAGCCACCCAGAAAAGCCACATCCTTCTTCTAACCATGCTTCCGTCATCCAGAACACTGTTAGGCTCAAGGATTCTTCAAAAGCACAAGGTCAAGGCAGGCCTGGTGGCACAAACAGGAAAGCCCAGCATTTTGGAGGCTGAGGCAGGAGGATCACGAGTTCAAAGCTATCCTGGACTAGAATGAGTTCAAAGCCATACTAAGCAACTCATCAAGACCCTGTCTCAAAACAAAAAAGTTGAAAAGAGGATTGGAGGGCTAGAGAGATGGCTCAGCAGTTAGGAGCACTTGATGCTCTTGCAGAGGACCCAGGTTTGGTTCCTAGCACCCACATGGTGGCTAACAATCATCTGTAACTCCAGTTCCAGGGACTCTGACACCCTCTTCTGGCCTCCATGGACACCGTACATACATGATGCATGTACATACATATAGGCAAAACATTCACACACATAAAAATAAAATTTAAAAATTAGGACTGAAAACATTCACACACATAAAATAAAAATAAAATTTGAAAATTAGGACTGGAAGAGCTGGAGAGATGGCTCAGCAGTTAAGAGCACTAACTGCCCTTACAGAGGACCTGGGTTCAGTTTCCAAAGCCCACATGACGGGCAGACAACTCTCAGTTCCAGGGAATCGGATGCCCTCTTCTGGCCTCCATGGGCATTGCATGCACATGGTGCACTTTATACGTGCAGACATAAAATAAAAATAAATAATTTTTTTTTTGTCTTTTTGAGACAGGGTCTCCTTGTAGCCCCAGCTGTCCTGGAACTCACTATGTAGACCGGGCTAGCCTCAAATTCACAAAGATCCACCTGCCTCTGCCTCCAAGTGCTGGGATTAAAGGCATGCACCACCACGCCCGGCTAAAATAAGTAAATTTTTAAAAATTAAAAAGGGAGCTAGAGAGATTGCTTGGTGGTTAAGGGCACTGACTGCTCTTGCAGAGGACTTGGTTTGGTTCCCAGCATCCACATGGCAGCTAACAACCATTGGTAAACTCCAGTTCTAGGGGATCTGATGCCCCCTTCTGACTTCTGTGGGCACTTCATGACGCAGACGCACTTACATGCATGCAGGCAATACGTTCAGACACGTAAACTAAATGATTTTTTAATTAAAAAAACAAAACAGAACTAGAGCTAGCCATGGAGATGTATGCTTTTAATTCCGGCACTGGGAAGGCAGAGGCAGATGGATCTCTAAGGTCAAGGCCAGCCTGGTCTACACAGCGAGACCCTGTCCCCTCCCCCCCGCCCCCCATAAAGGAGAGAACTGAAGATAAAGCTTAATAACTGAGCACTTGCTGAGCATGTGTCGGGTTCAATACCCAATACCACACACACTCACAAAAAGACACCCTTTCCCTCACCCAGCCAAGCTCAACAGAAACAGCACCAGCCACACAGACAGCTTAGTATTTTCTAGTAGCAGTATTTGAAAAGGGAAGGAAGTGAAGTTCATTTTTAACACACAAAAATCCCAAAATTATCGTTTATCATCAACACGAAAACATGATTAATGAGACATTTCGTATTCTTCAAATCTTCTGAGTTCCTGCCGGCCACACCTGGGTGCTCAGGGCTGCCATGGCTGTGGCCTTCACAGCGGCCCCAGAGGGTGGCAATGCAATACATACCGGGCCTTAAAACTCAGCCTCACTTAGGAAGCCGCATCAGCGCCAAGCTTGGCTGCTGACAACACTCAGCTTCTTCCAAAAACTAAAACCATCCGCCTCTCGTGGCAATGTTTGCCACACTGATGATAATCAAAAGAACGTGCTGGAAGTTTGAGGGGAGATTCCAAAAGCCGCACTGTGTCTGTGCGGTGCATCCTGCTACCAAACGTTCCACATAAGGAGAACAGAGGTTCCCAGCATCCAGAGGCAGACGGGAAAAACTGGGAACAGGAGGCCTAGGTCTTCAGTGTGGGCATTCCTCCCTGCCTCACACTGGGATGGCTGAGTCCACAGCCCTCTCCCGGAATGTTCTG